TATATATATATATATATATATATTTATCCGCGAATTCAAAATGATAAATAGCTCATTTCGTATTTCAATTTATTTGAAATAATATAATAATGAAGGAATATAAATGCATCTCCGGACTCTAAAGCGCCAACTCGGATAAATTTAAATGAATTGTAATTTTCAATTCCATTGAATTAATTTTCGTTTGCTGGGACGTCTTATAGAAATACAGGGTGGGTATTACCGGGAAAACCTGGAATTTTCAGGGAATTTAAATTTTTACCCTTGAAAATCATGAATTCTCGTGGAATTTTACTCAGGGAAATTTTTTGAATTTTACTTTTAAATTTAATTTTATCCCTTTAGAAAGTAAACGTGGCCCCATATCGAAGGCCTCCTGATTTTGAAAGTTAATTTATTTTAAAATTGACATATACGACTATATGAAGGACTCTTCAATCTAAAAAAAACGATAATCTGGAAAATAATAAATCAGGCATTAAGAGTCCAATAACGCAGAACTTGGTGCGTGAAACAGTTTAATCTTCACATATGTAGTCACATCTCCATATAAAATCTTTCGCTACGTTCGAAAAATTTTGTATGGAGATGTAACTATTGTTCATATGAGAAGATTAAATTGTTTCACGCACCAAGTTCTATACGTTATTAGAACTCTTAGTGCCTAATATTTATTTTAAAGCTGAGAAATGCTCTAATCTCACCTGAAATTTTGAATAAAATTCCTGGAAAATCCGGGAACTTTCAGGGAATTCTTTTGCAAAATTTGAGTACCCGCCCTGAAAATAAACTTTGTAAAATTCTTTCTTTTTTTTTGGCCAGAAATATTTTTTACATTTTCGATCGCATTTCCGAACCGCGAAGGATTAATATATAAGGACAAGACGGAAACAAACTTCGAAGAAGAGGAGACCGATAGCAGCGATAGAAGTGATGATGACGTTGAACTGTGATCACCGACACGACGACCATCCTCGTTGTCGGACGTCTAGAAAAAAACATGATTGCTGACACGAAATTAATTTACATTTTATTCGAATATATGCAGGTCAATTGAGATATTTCTAGGGATTATTAATTGATCAGAAAGATATCAAGAAATTAAAAAAAAAAAAAATAAGAATCACTCGTCGCACCCGCTTTTCACTCAGATCTAGCAATTTCATTTCACGCTCTCGTTCACTCTCGCTTCTCTCGCTTAGATCCGAATCCTCACCGAGCCATATATCGTGCACCCCTCAAAGTTATCGTTGCACCGATACAATTATCATGAATCCCGAGAGATCACGGTCGCGCAGGAAGTGTTCCCAAACGACACAAGGACATTTGTATCGTCTGGATCTTGAAACGATTCTACAAAAAAAAAAAAAAAAAAAAATTCTGCGGTTTTCCCCTGCGACAAAACTGACCCTCTTCTTCCCCTTTTCCGGCGGAAAGACTGAGTCGTTGGGACGATCCAACCCGTACGGCACCCTTGGCCACGCCGGAGACGCTGTCGGAGGCGTCGACGAGCAGCCCGCCGTCGCCGGTGGTGCCGGTACCCAGGCCGATGCGACGCACCCCCAAGATCCCGGGAAACTTGTCGACGGCGGCGGACGACCTGAAGAACAATCTGCACTACGCGATGCTCTCGGCGAAGAACTACTTCCTGAGGACGGGGGAGCATGCGGGGGGCAGCAACAACGGCAGCAGCAGCGGCAATAGCGAGGCGAGTTACGAGAGCGCCAGGAGTCTGGCCGCCGCCGGTCTTCCGCCGCCGATCCCGAGACGACGGGACTCCGTCACCGTTAGGAGGTGAATATTCTTTCTCTTTCTGTGCGTTTCGTAGACTAGAGAATCCCGAAATTTAACTTACCTGACACAAAGAACAGAAATTATACGAATTTTATGATATAACGCGCAAAAATCACGTGAAATTAATCGAAAATCGCTTTTAATTCTGGATTATTAATTTTTCTAACTCTTATATCTATTTTATTAAGTATTTTATGAAAGTTAATATTATGATTAGGTGGAGCTATCTATCCTACATATCTTTCTGTGTGTTCCGTAAATTAAAGAATTCCCAAAATTTAACTTGCTTGACACCAAAAACAAAATTATAAATTTTATGATAATATAACGCGCAAAAATCACTTGAAATTAAGTCGAAAATCGCTTTTAATTCCGACAGGATTATTAATCTTTCTAACTTTATGTTTATATTTTATTGAGTATTTTATTAAAGTGAATATTATAGATGAAGCTATCTATATCCTATAACATGTCTTTCTGCGTGTTCCATAGATTAAAGAATCCCAAAATTTAACTTGCCTGACACAAAGGACACAAAGAACAAATTTATAAAATTTATATTAAAATGCGCGAAAATTACTTGAAATTAATCGAAAATCGCTTTTAACGTAATTCTGGATTATTAATTTTTCTAACTCTTATATCTATTTTATTAAGTATTTTATGAAAGTTAATATTATATAGATGAAGCTTATATCTATCCTACATATCTTTCTGTGTGTTCCGTAAATTAAAGAATCCCAAAATTTAACTTGCCTGACACAAAGAACAAAATTATAAAATTTGTGATATTATAACGCGCAAAAATCACTTGAAATTAATCAAAAATCGCTTTTAATTTTAACAGGATTATTAATTTTTCTGACTCTATATCTATCAACTATTTTATTAAGTATTTTATTAAAGTTAATATTATAGATGAAGCCATCTATATCCTACATGTCTTTCTGCGTGTTCCATAGATTAAAGAATCCCAAAATTTAACTTGCCTGACACAAAGGACACAAAGAACAAAATTATAAAATTTATATTATAATGCGCAAAAATCACTTGTTATTAATTGATCGAAAATTAATAACAAATTAATCGGATCAAGCAAATTAATCGAAAATCACTTTTAATTCTGACAGGATTATTAATATTTCTGACTCTATATCTATTTTATTAAAGTTAATTTTATAGATGAAACTATCTATATCCTACATGTCTTGAAATATTTTTCATATAAGAACATAAACAACATGCATCGCATAAATGATATGTTTCAGAGAACAACGAACGTGCACAGCAGCGTGTTGCAGGGACGACCTGTCGGAAAACTCATCAACTCACACGTCCTCGCACTCCTCGAGAGTCTCCCATACTTCGCATCGCGTTCAGGTGGAGTTTAACGAGGAGGAGAACGACACTAACGGTTCCAGCTTGGATTTCTACGAAGCGAAGGTACCATAAAATAATCAATGTGCCTTTCGACAAAGAATATAACTTCAACCATCTGCAATTGTATAACGAGTCTCTCTCTCTCTCTCTCTCTTCGTTATTCTCTCAGGGCTCCTCCGGTCAGCGCGACAGTAGCAACGACGTGTTCCTCAGCGTGCGCAGTTCACCAGAGTGCAAAGGGCTCATGGCACCAGCCACGGATCTGGGCGCCGAGTGGAAGAAGGGAATTGACGCCGCGGGCGTGGGCGGTGACGCCTCGCTGCCGCTTCTCCGAGGCCTCTCGCCCACACCGACCTCCGGCCAGCACAATTCGCCATTTTTCAATGCTAAGCGGAAAAAGTACGTGTATCCCATCACGTTGGTGGGACGAGGCGAGAGCAGTGTCTAAGCCGCGTGGATAAATACCGGAGAGACATAATCAACGACCGTGCGAAGAGGCATTCTTCACTCACAAGTCGAAGGAGCCAATCGTATAATAAAGAAAATCAAGTAATGTGATGCCGCCCTTGTGCGGCTCGCACTTGTGACACTTGATTGCCTTTAACTTCGATTAGAAGGAATATTTATATCGACGAAGGGAACTTTTAACTCAGCGAATTGAAATAAAAAAAAAAAAAAAAAAACCAATCGAGGACCATCGAGGCACGGTAATATAATAGTCAGAAGTAGGTGTTTGAAAATACATGTGCCAAATTCTTCCTCTCCGACTTCACAACTTTCTCTTCCTCCTTAATCTACGAATTTCTCAGGTAATTCAACGCCGAACGCGTGAGAGGGATTAGGGCGTTTCTTTAAAATGCTTCTACGTCTTTCGCGCATCTGGATTGTCCATCCCCGATTTGAACACAGATACCCTCTTCAATCATCGTTCCACTCTCTTGATACGAATGTTTCTATCTTCGACTAGTAACGAGTAATGTATTACAATTTTGTAATCTTACTGCAATAGTCACGATTATAAAGAATACTTTTTTTTTTTTCAAGCAGGTAATACTTAGAAGTATCAATGACAGGAGGGTACTCTCTCTTTCTCTCTTTCTCTCTCTTGTGCATGTTCCTGAGGACAATTTTGAATAATCGAGTGATTATTTTAACGATATATTTATTTACTGATCGGTGAAACTAAACACAAGATTATGCAATATGAAATTATCCGTCTTTTTGGGGAATTTTCAATTCCACATCGGAAAATCTGCTCTCGTCTGATGACAGAAAAAAAATGCATTTTTGCAACTATAAATTTCCAGGGTGGATACTACCGGGAAAAACCGGGAAAACCTGGAATTCTCAAGGAATTTCATTTTTATCCTTGAAAATCATGGATTCTCGTAGAATTTTACTCAGGGAAATTTTTTGAATTTTAGTTTTAAATTTAATTTTATCCCTTTAGAAAGTAAACGTGGCCACACATCGAAGACCCCTGATATTGAAAGTTAATTTATTTTAAAATTGATATATAAAGACTCTTAAATTTAAAAAACGATAATCTGGAAATAATAAATCAGGCTTTAAGAGTCTAAATAACGCAGAACTTGGTGCGTGAGACAATTTAATCTTCACATATGCGGTTACATCATACAAAATCTTTCGTTACGTTCGAAAAATTTTGTATGGAGATTAGTAATTATTGTACACATGGGAAGATTAAATTGTTTCACGCATCACGTTCGATACGTTACTGGAACTCTTAGTGCCTAATTTATTTTAAATTATTTATTTTAAATTCTGTATTGAGAAATTCTCTAATCTCACCTGAAATTTTGAATAAAATTCCTGGAGAATCCGGGAATTCTTTTGCAAAATCTGAGTACCCACCCTGATCTCTCAGTCGAGATCAAAATGCATATTATACTGCAGCACATCGCAGTGTCGGCCTATATTTTGTACAAATATTGTTTATTAAAAGAGATCGCTGATTTATATATATTTCTAAATGTGTGATTTGTCAAATAAAAATCGAATCTTGCGTAGATACGTTCCGTTCGATTTTTTTGATATAATTTGTGTACTGTTCTTAGAACGTGCTTTGACATACGAATACAAAACTACCGATCACATTTTTATTACACTCTAAGCGAGTTTGCTCGAGTTTGATGATAATACTTAACTGCGAATAATAAAGAGGTATTTCACGATTATGTAGCGAAGAAAATGCGACAAGTGTCTGGACCTCTCTCGAGAGAATATCTCTAAGAATCGAAGTTTTTGATGTTGCTGTACTTATGTAAAAACAAACAAACAAAAAAAAACAGCACCGGGTGGCATTTAAATTCTAGTCAATATAACATATGCTTAGAAAAATGTAACATTTATTGTAATATTTATAGTAGCTTTAGGGAAAAACTCTCGCAGAATATACAAATTTACATAATAGAATTATTTATAAGAAAAAAAACAAACAAACGACGAGGAAAAAAATGCTACGTCTGTATATAGTGTATATGCGATTGAGAATTATATCTGCATATTGAGTGATTATGTAGAATACTCCGAAAGTTATTCTCGATGTAACGCGGACTCAATATTGCATACCGAGTGATAATAAATTACTATAGTGAATTTACTATTATTTATTTGTATATTATAGAGAGAAATTCTCTATGTAATATATATATATATATATATATGTATATAACAATCATTCATTCTCCAACAGACATTATTTCCTCGCACTCGCGTGTAAGACAATAACGATTCTTTCTTAACAAAGTAACCCGCGCAGAGGGCATTGCTTGTATAAAAAAAAAACGAAATATTCACTGCACAGCACTCGCCCACGGCGGTGTCATGGGCTGTGGATTTTGCAGGTAGGACATCACCACCGCGGATATCGACAGCATGAAGCAGCTGAGGATCTGCTTGGCGTCCTCGCTCGTTCGCGTATTGGCGAAGCTGATGCAGGAGCAGTAGAGCGCCACCCAGGAGCACCATTTCAGCCTCATCATCAGGCCGCACATGCTGAAGATCATTCCTATGACGTTCATGTACTCGGGCGTCATGTCGTCCTGCATGTGCGTCTGATTATTTGGACCCGGTGGTTTGTAGCGGACCTCCTTGTCCGGCCGCCTCGGATCTGTCGAGCTATTCATTCTGGATGTCTGCAATGTAAACGGATGCTAAGTAATAAGTTTATCAAGTAGTAATAATCAACGCGGCCAAAGACGAGCAATTCAGTGGTGTTGAGAGCTTTATTCTTCAATTTTCTAACGTAAAACGTAACAAACATTAATCGTTTTATGTTAGAAAATTGAAGTGAATAAAGTTTTATGTTAGGAAATTAAAGAGAATAAAGTTTTATGTTAGAAAATTGAAGAGAATAAAGTTTTATGTTAGGAAATTGAAGAGAATAAAGTTTTATGTTAGGAAATTGAAGAGAATAAAGTTTTTTGTTAGGAAATTGAAGAGAATAAAGTTTTTTGTTAGGAAATTGAAGAGAATAAAGTTTTATGTTAGAAAATTGAAGAGAATAAAGTTTAATGTTAGAAAATTGAAGAGAACAAAGTTTTATATTAGAAAATTGAAGAGAATAAAGTTTTCAACACCACTGAATTGCTCGTCTTTGGTGGCGTTGATTATTATTACTTATTGACTATTGAATTACAATAATGGCTTATAATAACTTTATTCCCGGTCAAAAGAGAAAAGAAGAGTAATTATTTAGTTTAGCAGCCTCATCTTCAATGTTGATAAGACTGGAAAGATTTCCTAACCTCAATAGTTGCTAACCTCTTAAAGATTAATATCTCGCGGAGCAGAACGCGAGTGGCTTTCTCTCTCTGCCAGATTCATTTCACGCAAAAACATGTAAAATGAGCCTGATTTCCTCTTAAACTGAATAATTAAAAAAATAATTAATAATTATTTTTTTAATTTTCAAATTTTTTTATTTTCAATTTCTATTTTTCTCCTAGAATATATTATATATGTTCTAAGATTCTTCTTTTCTTCTTTTTAAAAGGTTAGAAAAATTTGCAACCAATACAGTTATTTTTTCAATGAATTGGCACTTATCAAAAATCATATGATTTCATTTCATCGTGAAAGGTTAGCCTGTCGCAGTGATTTGTTTTCAAATGTAGCAGCATCAATTTATGATGTGGACAATAAATAAACAATTAGTAATGTTCAGAATGGCAGTGGCGTACTCACGTGCTGTTTGTTGTATTCGAGAAATACTATATAAAATAAAATACACGTAAAAATCAGCTGGTCACTGAGCTGTCACAATTGGCAGGATGGTCAAAGGCGCTGTGGATACTGGTCGCTGAAAAAGGAGCAGAGAGCAGAGAGTAAACGTGTAGGACACGCAGCGCCGCGCGCGACTGCTCCGAAAAGCGCAAAACCAGAGAGAAGCATGCTTCTCAGGGTGTTCCGAAATTCGCGAATCAAAATATCACAGCACAAGAAAGACTTCGGAAAATTAAATAAAAAAGTTTGTTTGTAAATTTTCAATTTAAGCGGCAGTTTCTGAGATATAAGAGCTGAAATTTAGGAAATTATAGATCATGATTAAAACCGACTTAAAATTTACAAATAAACTTTTTAAATCAATTTCTCGAAAACTTTCTTGCTGATGATGTGACTTTTTGATTCGCGAATTTCGGGACACCCTGTATATACCATAATACATACATACGTCCAGGGCATATTTCAAATACTTGTATTTGAAATACAGTATTTGAAATACAATTTGTATTTTGTATTTTGTATTTCAGCAGAACACATAAAAGTATTTTATATTTTGTATTTCAAAAAAATTATTCAATGTATTTTGTATTTCAAATACAATTTCAATCTATGTATTTTGCATTTGAAATACTAAAAAAATTATTGATAAAAATTCTTGACAACCATTAATAGTAACTTAAATTTTTCTCATATGAGACTAATTATTTTCGTCAAGTTTCAAGCAATATCAAGTCATCAGAGTCAAAACTTTCTTGCTGATGATGTAATTTTTTGATTCGCGAATTTCGGGATACCCTGTATATACCATAATACTACATACATATATACGTTCAGGGCATATTTCAAATACTTGTATTTGAAATACAGTATTTGAAATACAATTTGTATTTTGTATTTTGTATTTCAGCGGAACACATAAAAGTATTTTATATTTTGTATTTCAAAAAAATTATTCAATGTATTTTGTATTTCAAATACAATTTCAATCTATTTTGCATTTGAAATACTAAAAAAATTATTGATAAAAATTCTTGACAACCATTAATAGTAACTTAATTTTTCTCATATGAGACTAATTATTTTCGTCAAGTTTCCAGCAATATCAAGTCATCAGAGTCAAATTTCATAATCTCACATTAGTAAATAGATTTCTCGTGTGATTGATGCAGAACTGTTAAAAAATGTAAGAGAGTAAAAGATCGGAAGAGCA